TTTAAAGAAAAACAACTATAGAGAAACATTCGTCATAAATTTAGATGCAATTTAGATGCAAAAATTCTGAACAAATTTTTGGCAAATTGAATGCAACAGTGTATTAAAAAGGACAAACATGGTCAAGTCAGATTTATCCAAGGAATTCAAGATTAGTTTAATATTTGAAAATCCATCGGTGTAATTCATCATAATAAACTAAAATGAAAAGGCCATATCACCTTAGTATATGCACAATCAGTCATTTTTCAGAACATTTCATCTTACTGATGCAAAAAAGCATTGGCAAAATCCAAATCCATTCTTGATTTTTTTAAAAATATTTTTTTATTGATTTTTTTACAGAGAAGAAGGGAGAGAGATAGCTAGAAACATCAATGAGAGAGAAACATCAATGTGCGCCCTGTGCGCCCCCTCCTAAGGATATGTCCACAACCAAAGTACATGCCCATCATCCCCAGTTGGGGGTGTGCAAGAGGCAGCTGGTCAATGACTCTCTCTCATCGATGTTTCTAGCTCTCTATCTCTCTCCCTTTCTCTCTATACAAAATCAATAAAATATATTTAAAAAAACAAAAAAAAAAACAAAGTACATGCCCTTGACTGGAATTGAACCCGGGACCCTTCAGTCTGCAGACCGACGCTCTGTCCACTGAGCCAAACCGGTTACGGCCCATCCTTGATTTTTTTTTTTTTTAAACAACTCAATAAACTAGGAAAGGGAGAAATTCCACAGTCTAATAAAGAACATCTATAATGGCCTTTATTAGATATATTAGACAATAAAGAGACCTACATCTAACTCTTACAATAAAACAAAAAAAGAAAAGCCAATTAAAAATGGGCAAAGGGACTTAGACATTTCCCCAAAGAAGATATGCAAAAGACCAACAAGCACATGTAAAGAGGCTCAACCACATTAGTCACTAGGAAATGCAAATCAACACCACAGTGAAGTACCCCTGCATATTCAATAAGGTGGCCATAGTAGCAATAACTAACAATTCAGAAAATACCAAGTGTTTTCAAAAATACAGAGAGAGAGAGAGAAAAAAAAAAAAAGAAAATATGGAGAAATTGGAACCCTCAGACGTTGCTAATGGAAAGGTAAAGTAATATAGTTCCTGTGGGAAACAGTTTGGTGGTTTTTCCATAAATTAAACATAAATTAAACACCATATGACCCATCATTTCTACTACCAAAAGCATTGGAAGCAGGTATTCAAACAAAACAGCACTATACACAATAGTGAAAAGGTAGAAACCACCCAAATGCCCATCAACTGATGAATGGATAAAAAAAAAATAGTCTAGTTACACAGTGGAATATTATTCAGCTATGAAAAGGATGAAGGACTGATAGATGCTGCAAAATGTTTGAACCTTGAAAACATTATGCTGTAAACATTATAACCAGTCACAAAGGATTCTGCTTAGACAAAATGTCCAGAATAGGCAAATCTGTAGAGACAAAAAATAGATTAGGGCTGGGCTGGGCTGGGTGTTGGTAGGAAGTGGGGAGTGACTGCTAAAAGGTGTGGGATTTCTTTTTGGGGTGATGAAATGTTCTGAAAATGACAGATTGTGCATATACTAAAAACCATCAACGTATACACTTTATTTTTTTAAAAATATATTTCATTGATTTTTTTTTACAGAGAGGAAGGGAGAGGATAGAGAGTTAGAAACATCGATGAGAGAGAATGTACATGCCCTTGACCGGAATCAAACCCGGGACCCTTCAGTCTGCAGGCCTATGCTCTATCCATTGAGCCAAACCAGTTTCGGCAACGTATACACTTAAAATTGGTGAGATATATGGCACATAACTGATCCTATATAATAAAAGGCTAATATGCAAATAGACCAAACAGCAGAACAACCCAACATCCGGTTGCTATGACGTGTGTTGACCACCAGGGAGCGCACACATGGTGGGTGTCAGCAGCAGTTGGCAGAGCATGGAACATGGCGGGTGTCGGCTGGGGTGGGATGGTGGAGCAGGTGAGCAGGGGCGCCAAACCAAGGCAGGGCGCTGGTCACTGTCATCGGGTGGTTACTGAAAATTCTTTGCTCCCACGTGCCACGGTCCTGTCCTGCCCGGCGCTTCCACCTGCTGCCAGCCCCGATGGCCCCTCAAGGGTAGGGGGAGATAGAGAAGCCCTCTGGGACGATTAGGGCTGGCAGCTGCTGCTTGCCCCCACTGATGGCATGGAGCAATTGGGGCTGGTGCCATCAGCAGTGCAAGTGGGGCCTGAGCGGTCAGCGCATGGAAGTGGTGGCAGAGGGAGTAGGGCTGCTGGCAGACAGGACTGGATCTGTGATAGGAGGAGCCAGGCAGGGGCATGGAGGATGGGCCCTGTGCCCACCACAGCCTCGCAGCCCACAGTGCCTTTTAAGGTCACCAATTTGTGCACTGGGCCCCTAGTGTCTCAATAAAGATGTCATAAATAACAGAAAAGTGCACACACACCAAGAAGGCACTTTCTTGGAAGGTTCTAAGTGGATTAGGCCTCACCAGAAGTTTAGATAAGTGAAGTTAGACTGAAAGAGCCCCCAGAGTTTGGATCAGTTATGGCCAGATTTCTCAGGAGAAATAGCATCGTGGAAATTTAAGGTCCTATAGCTAGTCCAGGATGGAAGACAGTCCGAGCTAGGAACTAGATGCCAGAGTTTGTGTCCCTGCTCTCAGCTAACAGCTGAGAACATCCATGACTGCGAATCTCAGTGAGATAGCTCCCTTTCCCTACCGCCAATCCACAGTGCTCATCAGAAAGCACTCATCACTTGGGTGCCACCATCTGTTCAATAGGCATCCCAGAAGTCTTGGATTCCGCAATTTCTAGAGCAAAAATCAGGACAAAGCAATCCCTTTGAAGATATTCAGCATGCAGCATCTCTCCTCCGGAGAAGTGATGTCTGCCCACAGGAACACTCAGCTGAGAATAAGATAGAAGGCTGTGTGACATAGTGCCCGCATGTCAGAGCAACCTGTGCACACTCAGAGAAACAGCCACATGGAAGCTCTGCTGAATGTTCATGACTATCCAGGGCAACACTAATTCGTCAGGATGGATTTCATATAGCAGACTTTTAAAAAATATATATTTTATTGATTTTAGAGAGGAAGGGAGAGGGAGAGAGAGAAACATCAACGATGAGTGAGAATCATTGATTGGCTGCCTCCTGCATGTCCCCCACTATAGATCAAGCCAGCAATCCAGGTATGTGCCCTTGGCCGGAATCAAACCTGTGATCCTTCAGTCGCAGGCCGACGTTCTATCCATCGAGTCAAACCAGCCAGGGCTAGTAGACTTTTATCTCACAAGATATTTCTATGCTTTAAGTATATGGGTTTGTTTGCTGAGCCTTCATTTTTACCTGATCATCAAATGAATATTATAGAAGGACCAAAATCTCTGTCTGCCTTTTGGATTATTTCTGTGAGATAGATTCCCATGTATGAAATAATCCCAAGTCAAAGGGTGTGAGCATTTATAAAGGTTCTTGAACCTCATTGCCACATTGCTTTGCAAAAAGATGGAACCAATTTACACTCCCCACCAGCAGTGTATGAAAATATATTTAAATGCAAATTCCAAACTGCGGAGGGGCTCCTCCTTGGGCATTTCACTTGAAATTTTGTTTTTTGCTAAGCAAACAGTGACCTAGGGTGTTGAAAGAAGAAAGTCTGACATGAAAGTGGAGCAGGTAGTGAAAACGGCTCTCAGGCAGAAATGAGCTTTAGAAAGGCCCAGCAGGATGATAGAAATTGTAAGGCAGCATCACAAGCTCAGCTCTGAGGACCATTAACCATTTGGCTTGGATTGGGGTAGCAGCCGCCAAGAATGTGGGGCGTGGTCTGTGTACCAAATTCTAGTTGAGAAAAAGGAGTGTATTTTATGTATTTACACTACACACAATTTTTAAGATTCCGAATGGCAGGAGAAAGGGGCATTGTGTATGAATAATCAATCTCTGCAAGTGAGAGGAACCCACGGCCCTGGAACCACTGTCAAGTCTTATCTCTCCCTGCGGCCCCGCCCGCCCGCCCGGGAAATCCCGAGTTCGCTTTGCAGCCGCAGTGACCGCCTCTGCTAATCCTGGGCACGGCGGTGTAGGGGGCATGAGGGCGGGGCAGGCGGGGCAAGCCCGGGCTCGGGGTGCCAGCCCACCGAGCTCTACACAAACTCATGCGGTGCTGGCGCCTCAACCTTCGGCCGGGATCCCCCTCTGCCAGTGACAGGAGCCGTCCGGCTCGGCCTGCGAGTCTTCCAGGACTTGTGGGTCCCCCGCCGGGGAGAGCCCGGACCTCACTTTCTCACTCTGTTCCTCCGTCCCTGCTCCCTCTCCTTCCTTCCTTCCTTTTCTTCTTGGCGTCTCCCCTCCTCCCCCCTTCACTCCTCCCTCCTCCCCCAGCCCCTGCGCCCAGGCCGACCCTCCCCTCCGCCTTCTCCTCGCTCGGAGCCCCTCTCCCTCCCCTCCCGCCCCGCCCCCTCCTCCCCGCCCCGCCCCCTCCCCGCGCTCGCGCCGCTCTCGGCCAATCAGCGCGCGGCGGCCCGGGCCCCGCCCCCGTGGTTCCGGGCGGGCCTGCGGAGCCGGGCCGCGGGCGGAGGGCGGCGCCGCGGGGCGGGGGCGGGTGGGGCCCGGCGGGCGGGGGCCGCGGGCGCGGGGCTCGCCGGGACGCCGGCGTCCGGGGCCGTGAGGACGAGGCGGCGCGGGGCCTGCCCGGCATGGGCCAGCCGCGGCCTGGCGGGGCCGAGCCGGCGGGGCGAGCGCGGGGCCGGGCCTGCGGGGCGGGCGGCCCGCCCGGGGGCTGAGGGAGAAGTGGGCGCGGAGGAAGGGGCCGAGCCACGCGGTGGGTGGAGCGGCGAGGGGGCGGGGGCTGGGCCGCGGTGCAGCGGAGCGGGCGCCTGTCCGGAGCGCGGCGGCGGCGCCGGAGGAGGCGGAGGCGGCCCTGACGAGCGCCCGGAGGTGGCGGCCGAGGCGCCGGGGGCCCCATGGGCGGGTGTGTGGGCGCCCAGCACGACTCCTCGGGCAGCCTCAACGAGAACTCGGAGGGCACCGGAGGTAGGTGAGCGCCAGGGGGCAGCCTCGGCCCCCCATTGTTCCCGGCCCGGGCCCGGCCACCTGTCCCGGCCCCGCGAGCCCGCGGCCGGGGTCCCGCGCCCCTTTGTCATCCCTCCTCCGCGTCACTGCGCCCCGCTTCCGGCCGCCCAGGCCGCGGGGTCCCCCTTCCCCCTTTCCCCCTTCCCCTCCCCTCTTTTCCCCTCCCCTCCCGCCCCGCCCGCCCCGCAGAAAGTCCTCCGCCCGGGCACGCCGCCGCCCTCCCGACCCCGCGCCGCGGCCGGGACTCCCGGCCCGGAGCTGCCTCCCGGCCCCGCGCCGGCGGTGAATTATGCAGGAGCGGATGGCGGCGGGGGCGGGCCGGGCCCACCGCCTCCCCCGGCCCGGCCCGCACCTTCCCCGCGGCTCGGCTTTCCGAGGCTCAGGTGACAGCCCGGCCCCTCCCGTCGGGCCATTTAAACCCGAGCCCTGAGCCCGGGGCGTCCCCGGGGCCGCGGGCGCTCTTTCCCGGGGGCGGGAGCGGGCCGGGGGACGTGGCTGCCCGCCGCTCGGGGTGCGGGCCAGCTCGCCTTCGGGGTGGGCTAGTCAGATTCCGATCCGGCTGACGTCAAGGGAAGATGTAGGATAAAAGCACAAATGCACGGCGTCCGCCTTCCCGTAGGATCGGGTCCTTAAAAGTTTTCCCGCACGGAACGCGCTCCTACTTCATTGTATCCCAAAGAGTGTGCCGAGGAGAGGTCTTTAATTCATTAACCCTGCCTTTCCTCACGTGACCTTTTACCGAATCCTCGCCGTGGCTGTGTGCAGGGTGGAGTGTTTTACTTACAGAGGAAACCTCTAGGGATAACGGAGGAGTCGGTGTGGTTTGGGTGCAACCTTATATTACGTAGCTGTCTCCCATGAGGGGCCTAGATGTATAAGTTACTAAATGAAATCGTTTGGGGATAAAAGAGTTTACAACTTTTTCCTAGACTAAAAGTTGTGGCTTGCCCTATCCCTTAAGCTCCGTCTGTGAACCAGGCGCACACCTAACTTTCCGCTAATGAATTTACTGAATTGCATGATGCTTAGCCTCGCCACTTGATTAAAATCTCTGGGTGTCCTGTGTGACGGCTAAATCTTGGGCAAATAGTTGGAAAGATCGGTGGAGTGTTTCTGGAAAAATTGTCCAGGAAAACTACTTTAGAGTGCATTTCAAGTCATACCAGACTTTTTTAGTGGCATATTAACAGAGATCCGCAGCGACAACAAAGCAGGAAGATAAAAAGTGTATGATTTAAACCACAAAACAGCCTTGGGTTAAGATCAAATTGGGGGTCACAGTGATTCTTCTTGCCATTAAAGTGGTACTTGTTATGGGTGCTGTTTAGTTTTAATTGTTTTACACAACGTTGAAATTCAAATAAACATTTTTCTCTTCTTGGTAATAAACTTGAGCCAATTTATTTCTTGTGATAGTGTGACTTAATGACCAGCCATGCATGTTAGTGTGGGCTTTTAAGAGCATGAAGTCTTGGGTTTGGCTGTTTATCACCAGTGTATCCAGTTAGATGGTTGTAGTATCACTTTCTTTGAAAACTGAGTTCTCCGGACCTTAAGCAGTGCCATATTTTTCCAAATTAAAGTTTAGAAAAAAACTTTTTTTTTGTTTTCTTCTGGAGAGAAGGCATGGCCTTGGGGTGGAGAAAGGAGCTGTGTGGGATAAAGGATTATTTCTGGAATTTAATTATAGAAGCCTCTATTCTCCATTATCGTCCTGATAGTTAAGAGTTAATTGTGGTTTAAAGGAATTAGTTCAGGTGAGCGGTTCAGGTTAACAAATTAAATAGCTCTTGCTTATTACAGTAAGCTTTTGGTGGGAAGGGAAAGACTATTTTTCCTAAGAGGGTTGGCACAGATCCTTTGCATTTCAAACATTTAGTAGTGGTTAGTAGTTGTAATCTGGACATACGTGTTATGAAAATTTCCTTTATCAACATGGAATAAAGTACAGACTTCTGATGCTTTTCATGACAGATTTAAGATTTTCATGACAGACATACATTCACAGTTGTCCTGCAAACATCATAGAATGGCAAATAATTGTGTGTATACTGAGAAAAATTTCCTTACTAGGTACAATACTTGTTTGAAGGAATGTGAGAAATTTTTGCAAAAGACTAGAATGTGGAAATGGCTTAATTCATGAAAGATTTGTGTTATCTGAAATCATTTCTAGCATCTTACTTTGGCATACCTTGCCTAGAATTCAGTTTTTGAGTTTTAGCTACTTTGACCATCTTTTAATGCCTAATGTTAGTCACGATAGATATATTTTAATAGGATTTTACAATTTTCTCCACGATTTCATGCTCCTAGGATTTTCTGTTGTTTTGACATTTTTAGGTAGCATGTTCTGTATGGTTGTCTGCCTTATTATGATGACATTGTGATGTTTAGGACATCTAGATTAGATTTTAGCTCATGGCATTTGCTAAGGAATTAAATCTCGTATGATTTTTGAAAATAAGAATTATGGGGTGGGGGAATAATTGAAGTGAAATTAATTGAAGACAGCCAGCTCGATCTTTTGTTCTCTTTAATGACCATAGTGATGTACAAAGATTACTTACTGCGTGTGTCATTTTCCATACATTGTGATATTCCAAAAGGACTGGCCTTGATGGTCACAAGTTTCCAGGTTTACAGGAGGATAACAGAATAATGTACATTCACTTTTTAGTTTATGAAATATATATTTTCTTAATATATATTTTATTGATTTTGTACAAAGAGGAAGGGAGAGAGATAGTTAGAAACATCAATGAGAGAGAGTCATCAATCAGCTGCCTCTCGCACACCCCCTACTGGGGATATGCCCGCAACCAAGGTACATGTCCTTGACCGGAATCGAACCTGGGACCTTTCAGTCCCCAAGCCGACGCTCTATCCACTGAGCCAAACCGGTTTCGGTGCTAGTTTCATTTTTTAATGGTAGTAAAGACATATAAAATTTGCCATATTAAGCCCTTATCAGAAATACAATTTGCAAATATTTTCTCCCATTTTGTAGGTTATCATCTTACTTTCTAAAATGAATTCCAATTTATTTTTCCTTTTGTTACCTGTGCTTCTAGCTTAGCTTTATATATGTTTAATCCTTTGTTTATTTGGAAAGAGTAACTCTCTAATCAGTAATTCACAAATTTTTAACTAACATTGTTAACTATGAATAGAAAGTTATTTTAAGTTTATTTTCTGTCTAATCTGGTAAAAAGGTTGATTAGCATTGAAATGGTTTTTAGAAAGTTGACAAAGCTACCTTCCATTGGGCTAGTCCCACTCTCTTTTTAATTTTTACCTCCAAATTGGTACTCATATTTTCTATGTTTTATATAGAGTATAATATATTTTATAACTAGTGGCCTGGTGCATGAATCTGGCACACTGAAAGGAAATTAATTGTGCCAATAGTTGTGCCAGTAGTTGGTCTTCAAATACATTCTGCCGATGATGCCAGCTTCTTTCAGCTTCAGAATGTTAACAAAATCAATAAAATTCACGATCGACAATGATAGATCAAAACACACATGCAATTGGCACCAGCGAGAGCTTTATATGTATGGCGCATGTACTACCCTGTTTCCCCAAAAATAATACAGTATCTTATATTAATTTTTTCTCCCAAAGTTGCGCTAGGTTTTATTTTCGGGAAACACGATAGTTAATGTTTATTTTTAAATCGCCAGTGCTCGTCATCTGTACCGGCTGGTCGGTCAGATGGATGATTGGTCACTTAGCCTTATATATATATATATGAATTTCTATATTTTCCATTCTGTTTTATATTTTTAACACCAAGAGTTGAAATCTCTTCCACCCACTCCACCCCCAGTTAAGATTATATTGGAATTTATGTTAGAAGGGATTTCAGAGAAGAAAGGAGAGGAAGAGAGAGATAGAAACATCAATGATGAGAGAATCATAGGCTGCCTCCTGCACACCTCCTACTGTGCATGGAGCCTGCAACCTGAGCATGTTCCCTGACTAGGAATCAAACTGTACCTCCTGGTTCGTGGGTTGATGCTCAACCACTGAGCCACGCTGGCTGAGCTGGAAAGGCATTCATTATTAAAGAAGATTCTTATTATGGATATTAAATGTACTGTTTTTGTTTTTTGTTTTTAATTCTGATTTTATTTAGGAGTCAGTTGCTAGTGCTATATACTATGGACAGAAGCTTTAAGCTTTTAGAAATGTTAGAAATGTTAGAAATGATTTTTGATAGCTTTAGTTTATATAACACCTCTCATGCAGCAATTTTAATAGATTTTATTTTTGAAATCCTATTCTCTTACTGTAAATGCAAAACTTTGGCAGCAAATTTTGAGTGGTACTGTACTCAGGTGAGTCTCCTAATGAGAATGATTATTGAGTGTTAATCAGTAAGGAACTTTTGCCATGATGTCAATGGTTATCTCTCATGTGGCTTTTGACCAAAACACATTCTTCTCTTGTTGCAAGAAAGCAGTTTTGGTTTTGGTAAGCAGGTTGGTTTTGGTAAGCAGCATGATCATGTTAATTGGGCATGGTGGTCAGTTTGCCGACTTAGTGATTCTTTCATTTTTCCTTACCGCAGACCACCTGAATGGTTTATCTTTTTCTCTTTTTTTTCTTTTTTAATATATTTTATTGATTTTGTACAGAGAAGAAGGGAGAGAGATAGTTAGAAACATCGATGAGAGAGAGTCATCGATCAGCTGCCTCTTGCACACCCCCTACTGGAGATATGCCCGCAACCAAGGTACATGCCCTTAACCGGAATCGAACCCGGGACCCTTCAGTCCCCAAGCCGACGCTCTATCCACTGAGCCAAACCGGTCTCGGCATGAATGGTTTATCTTCATTTGGTGGACCACTGCACCTGATTCTCCTGTCGCCCCTCACCATCCTTACCCAGCTTTCTGCTTGTACTTATCGGGCAGTATTAGGCTACCAGTAAGCTCCTCATGATTCACTGGTAG